TGCGGGACGCGCTGCGGGACGCGCTGATGCTCTGCCTGCTGCGCTACCAGGAGGAGCCCGACCTGCGCTTCCTGGTGGACGAGGTGCAGCGGGGGCTGCGCTGCTGCGGCCTCGGCTCCTACCGCGACTGGGAGGCCAACCCGTGAGTCGGAGGGGCTGGGGGGGGGTCATAGAATCACAGACTGGTTTGGGGTGGAAGGGGCCTTAAAGCTCATCTTGTCCAACGCCCAGGCTGCTCCAAGCCCCATCCAACCTGCCCTTCAGCACTGCCAGGGATGGGGCAGCCACAGCTTCTCTGGGCAGCCTGGGCCAGGCTCTCACCACCCTCACAGGGAAGAATTTCTTCCTAATGTCTAACCTAAATCTGCCCTCTATCAGCTTAAAACCATCCCCCCTCATCCCATTACTCCCTGCCCTTCACAAAAGTCCCTCCTCAGGTTTCCTGGAGACCTTCAGGCCCTGGAAGGTGTTCTAAGGTCTTCCTGGGTCATTCTCCTCTCAACCTGTCTGCAGAGAGAGCTACTTCAGCCCTTGGATCCTCTCTGTGTCCCCTTCCGGACACACCCCCACATCTCCATGTTCTCCTGGGAAGTACGGCGGGTAGGAATTGTGTCCCCACCCCCAGGCTGGTACGTGAACCCAACACCTTGTCTGTCCCCACAGGTACTTCAACTGCAGCTCTCCGGGCGCGCAGGCTTGCGGCGTCCCAGCCTCCTGCTGCCGGGACGCCCTGCAGAACGGCTCCATCGCCAACGCCCAGTGCGGCTTCGGGGTCCTGCGCTGGGGGGACGTGGCTGCGGGGGCCGCCGTGCACCTGGGGGGCTGCGAGGCACGGCTGGGGGCCTGGCTGCGCGCCCAGGCGGGCGGCATCGCCGCCGGCGCGGCCGTCCTGCTGCTGCTCGAGGCCACCGGTGCCCTCATGGCGCTGAAGGTGTTGGGGGACATCGTGCCTGTTGGGGCCTGGGATTGAGGGTGTGCGGGTTGTCACCCTGGGATGGGGGGGACACCGCAGCGCTGGGGACGTGGGGGGGTGATGATCCAGCCCAAAATAAACCTTGCCAGGAGCCTGAACCCTATCCACGTCCCGTCCACACCAGGGAGACGCTTTGCACCCACACCCCTGCCCAGCCCCATGGCACGACATCAGGCTGCCACGCTCCTTAAGGGTTTTAATGAGCATTTTTCCAGGCTGAGCCCCTCTGCCCAGCCGAGGGGACTTCTACCTACACAGCACTACGGGGCAGGCGGCTGCTGGTGGCCCTGGCGTGCCTAGATGATGCCGTACTGAGCCAGCTCGTGCAGCTCCAGGTGGCTGAAGGCTTCCCAGGGACAGATGACGGTGATATCTGGGGAGAGGAGAGAGGCTGTGTCAGTGTGACCCCCCAACCCTGCTCCCCACCCACAGCAAAGGGGACATGGGACCCCTGTACCTGTTCCCAGCCCTTCCATTCCTGGGATGTCGTCACCAAATCTGCAAGGAGAGAGCATCAGTCCTGACCCCCAGCCTGCCCTCCTGCCCCAGGCTGGCACCTATGGCCATGTCCCCCCCAAGCCCCTAGAGCCCTGCTATGGGTCCCAGGACTCTGCCCCACTCACCCCTGCACCCCCTTTTTGGGGGGTTTGCTTTTGAACTGCCTCGTCTGCCTCTGCTTGAATTTGGGGGGTCCTTTCCGGGGGGTGGCAGGTCCCCCAGTCACCCTGGTGGCTGATTTGATCTCCGGCTTGGGAGGGGGCTCCAGGCTCATGGCTGTGCCAGGGCCTGCCCCACGGCGCGGTTATCCCTGCGGCTCTGGCACAGGCACAGGATGGCTCCTCACACCTGCAGAGGGGAGATGTTGGGGGGGTGGCACCAGCTTCTCCCA